TCTAGACTTTGCAGGCAGACGCCTGGGAGCTGAATGAGTGTGGTGTGTGGGTGTGTGTGGTGGGGGTGCTGTCACTCAAGAAAGAAAGGGGTGGGACACCCATGGCAGAACTGCCAGAACAGGTGAAAACGGAGTGAGTAGGAGTGGGGTCAGGAGACCTTGCAGTTACCTGGCCCAGGCAAAAGCCCCAGGTTCCTTCCTTATCCAGATATATGGAGGCTGTTCCACGGACAAAAACAGTCCTATCCAGCCAGGACCTCGACGGGGCTGGGTTCAGCGTGTGAGGATCCCAGGAAGACCAAAAGGCAAAACTGGCTGTCACTTCTCAGAGCCTGGAGCAAGATGGAAGTGGAGAATAACTTCCGCTGTGGCCCTCCCAGTACCCAGCTAATAGCAAGGTTATTGCTCTTTTAATTTAATCCTTTGTCTGCCTTGGTGAAGACAAAGCACACTTCATTTTATGCAAAAGTCCTTCCTTAATGGAAGGGCCAGGAGAAAGCCCCTTAATGGAGGGACTGCTGCACTAGATCACTTTGCCTCCAGCTGCGAAACCGATTAACGTCCTCAGAGTCTCCAAGGAGGTTCTGCGCAGTCACGCAGGCAGTCACGGGGCCATTTCCAAGGAAAGGGGTGGGGGTGTGTGTGTGAGAGTCCAGTGGGAGGGGGCCAGCCTCAAGGAGCCTCCTTCAGGAGGTGGAGAAGGAGTTGGGCTGGGCACCCCAAGAAGAAATGCCAGGAAATACGATTATTCACATGCATCTCATCCTTCTCTATATTTTGCTGCATACCTCTGAGCCCTGTGCTACCTGCATTCTCATGACCCCACAGAGAGGGGGCAACAAATGACAGGTCTAAGCCTGTGTGTCCTGTACAAGCTACTAGCCTCACGAACATGTGACCACTGAGCATTTGAAATGTGGCCACTGTGAATGGAGATGAGCTGTTAAATGCAAAATGCATAGCAGGCTGTAAGACGCTATGGAAAAAGAACGCAAAATATCTCATTAATCATTTTATATTGAGTTAAATAAACTATATTATAATTAATGTCACCCATTTTCTTGTACTTTTAATATACCTACTAGAACACTTAAAAGTCCCTATGCAGCCCTCATTTCTGGTTCACATCCTAGCTCAGGGGAACAGCGCTGGTCCCTGGTGAATAGCATACACGCTTTTCAAATTTCTTTTAAAAGAAGGGAGCAGATACCAGTGGTTTTTGGACACACCCCTGTTTCCCACATTATCTATGACACAATTTCACTTCATTAAGCTGGATAAGGGTTGTTAAGATTGATCATTTTAAAGGAGTTGGGGGCTTCAGGATGTATCCAAGAGCTGTTTTTAAAATTTATCCTTCATTCCTTATATGCTGCCACTAGCAAAGGGACCCGTGGAGGCCACCAGGCAAGATGACAGGCTCGAACTAAGCCTTAGATGCTTCAGGCACATGCTTTGGTGTTTTATTAAAGCCTGTTCTTGCTCGCTCAGGTCAGTGGTCCTAAACCGGGTAGTATACATCAGAATCCCCAGGGGAAGTTTGCATTCTAAAGTTCTCCTGCAGGGTCCAGGAATCTGCATTTTAAAAAGCAGCCCAAATAGATTTGCATGCCCGAACACACTCTGAGAAATATTCATAAACCAGCTTTCCAGCCTTTCTGATCAGAGGAGACTCCAGGGGTGTTTGGCAACTATGCAAATTCCCAGAGTCAACCCAGACCCACAGAATCCAAAACCCCAAAACAGGGACTCTGAAAATCTGGGAGACAGTGTCTTAAAGTAGAGGTTCTCAGTCCTTGTGAACAGGATAAACTGGTGTCAGAAAAGCACCATGTGCTTTATGATTATGATAGTAAAAAGACCTCCCCCAACTGCATGCATTGCTCAAGATAAATAACAAGAAAACACAAAACTGATACAGGCAAATCTGACCACTACCCCTTGACTGGAAGTAACTCTTATTTCAGTGCATTTCTACATTAAAAGATAAGCCTGGGGTGGAGGTGGGGGACCTAAAACAATTTTAGTCACATTTTTGACCATGTGCAAAATGGTGCAGGTGCAGAAGAGGTTGCAACATCATTGTGAATATCGCTTCACAACCGTATAAATGTTGTTCACCCTTTGACTTTCTTGCCACTCTAAGGAGGGATCACTTTGCTGCCTGACTTCTCTGCCTATGGGACAGCTATCTTGCTATACACAATAAATCAATGCAATAAATAATTTTTTTTCCTAACCCATTTTTTGTTAGCCATATTTGATTGAGTTAGAGGGCCCACTGACCTGGTGACTCTGCTATGCATTATGTCACCTGGGGCTTTATGTTCCCAAGGGCTCGGCCACACCCCAGGTCAATCACATCAGACTTTCAGGGGGGAGGGGGGAGACCCAGACATCTGTGTGTGTTTGAAGTTTCCTGGCAGCAACAATTTATGGCCAAGGTTGAGAATCACAGGTTTGGTCGATAGCAAATTAACCCATCTCCTTTCAACTTTTACCGAGAGCAAACTATGTCATTTAGTACCCCCAAGTGCCCAGAATAAAATGTCTGAGTACAAAGGCCATAATGTGTTACTTTCTGAACTGTTATTACCTTTCTCCAGTCTCAGAAGTTTCCTTCCAGATCATCGCTGTTCCTGCAGGCTGGCTGTCAACTTTGTGTGCAGCTGTTAGTTCCAGCTCAGGTGCTAAACACTAGAGGCCTCTTTCCAGACAACCCCTACCTCACCGAAGGAGCCACCGTGACACCACCAGCTCCAGGCCCCACAGCTGCTCTCAGAAACCTTTTGCCAGCCACACGTTTTAAAACCACCATATCACCGCAGTTGCCTCCCACCCGTGCGCTTCCCCTCATCTGGAAAGGTAACAACCTACCTGTGGGGTGCTCCCACAGGGGCCAGGACTTTATGCTGCCTGCATTATTTGGAGATATATTAAAATGGAGATTTAAAAATAAATACTTATCTTCACAACTGAGATTGCTTCTGTCTGCCCCCTCCCTGCCGTTAGACCTTATAAAAACTTCATTGAATTATAATCATTTGGTATATGCATGTGTCAGGTCTCAGAACACGATACCCCCAAATACAGCATCTTGGCAATTGAACACCCTGTATAAGCAGGAAGGTCACTGGGACCTTCTCTCTGCTTGCCTCTGAAGCAAGGTCATAAAGGAATTCTCTGGCCTACCTGAAGTAGGTTACAAGACCCTTATTCCAGAGGGATCCTGCATTATCCTCAGAGGCCAAGAAGAATCTGAACAAACAGCGCTACTAAGGTCTCCCTAATTTATTATCATTAGATCATACCCCCTCACCCTGACCCTTTCTTACTTCCTTCTTTCTTCTTCCTACATGGAATTCAGAGGTAAAGATTGGAGATGCAACAGTCATTTTGTAATCAGGAGGTGAGAAAATTAGGACCAAGCCAACAAATTGCTCTGGGTGGAAGAGCAGTAGCATCAGGCTCCTGATGGCAGCAGTTGTACCAGCCCTGGGCGGCCTGCCATTATGGTTAAGTTTTCTCTTATTTGTTGACAAACATATTTCTACTTGACATAACTAGCATTTCACTGTCATAGTATGTCATTAAAGCACCTAATATCACTTTTAGCACAGAGTAGAGATCCCATTCAGTGTTTGCACATTCATTCACTTATCCATGTAAATGTTGACAAGAATGAGTCTTGAATAAGGGAGTGAATTAATGGATGAGCCTTTTTTGTTGTTGTTTGGACAGAAGCATCATCTAATAAAAACAGATTATCCCCTAACTTTAAGTTATGTCTTATAATCTTTTAACAGCTTTGTTTCAGATCCTGTGGACTATATTATATGGGTCCTGGAGTTTGTTCCCAACAGACTTTTTTTTTTTTTTTGGTACTAGAAATTGAACTCAGGGGTGCTTAACCCCAGAGCCCCTTCCCATGCCCCCCTTCTTTAAAAAAATTTTTTATTTAAAAACAGGGTCTCGCTAAGTTGCTTAGGGCCTTCCTAAGTGGCCGAGGCTGGCTTTGAACTTGTGATCCTCCTGCCTCAGCCTCCTTGGCCTCTGGGATTACAGACGTGTGCCTCCACGCCTGGCTGGCGTGTATTCCCAAGGCTCACTTCCATCCTATGAGCAAAACTGGTGCAGCTGCTCCAAATCATGCGGAGAACAGTGGAAGCAGCTTCCGGGTGTCACCAATTCCCTGAGAGCCATATTTCAAGGATGCTCTTCTCTGCAAGGCCAGGTTGGCAGGAGTGTGGCCTGTGCAGAGGTTGGTCAGGTGGAATTAGCTCCGTTTATTTATTTATTTTTTTTCTCTCTCCGACTTGGGCTGCCGGGCTGCGGTGTACACACAGGGCACGTTAGTGGGCAGAGTTAAGAACTGAGGCACGGAACTGAAAAAAGAAAGGAGAGACTTCAGCTGTCTCAGACTGAACTGTGAGGCAGCTCTCCAGGCCCAGTCTCCTGTCCCACACCCAAGAATTCCTGGTACTCTAAGAAAAAAGTGTTCTTTTTAATTTGGTTCCAAGCAGCTTGGCTTTATCTCTTGAAAACGGTTATGTTGATACCTGGCTTTGGGGGATACATTTTATGTTTACTTTTAAAACAGTATAGGTAGATTTTTAACAGCTTAGATTTTAAAAATATATAGAGCAGTTTTGACATGTCAGGCACTGCTAAGTGGCTTTGAATGCATTGTCTAATACACACCATCCTCCGTCTGTGGTAGGTGCTATTATTTTCCTTGTGTTACACACAAAGAAACTGAAGCTCAGAGAGATTAAGAACTTGTCCGAGATCACACAAAGCCCTGAATCCAGGCTGGGGTAATTGTCTCCAGAGCCCCCTATCCATTCCAACCATCCCCATATTCTGTGATTTGGAGTGGACAGCATATTCCCCCAACTGCCACTGCCCTGACCCTCCCTGCCCTGCCAAGGCTCAGGATGTCAGGCTCCTGGCCAAAACCCATGGGCACAAGAGCCTCTTAGTTTGACAAGGGGACTTACACTGAGGGGAATGTTTCGTCTGGTGTCTTCTGGATCGAAGGCCTCGACCTGATAAATAAATCCAGGTGTTTCTCTTTCTGCTATGAAGAGGTCTAAACCTGTGCGAGTGTGCAAAGTGGAAGAAGAAACATTTTATTAGATAAAGCAAGTGGTGGAACCAGGTGTGTTGGCATCATGGGACAGAGGGCAGCAATATCCCAGGCCACGAGGAAGACCACTGGCCAGCGAGCATGTGCCGAGCCATCTATGGGAACTGACAAAATGCTATGGTGTCGAGCCATCACCGATCTCCTCCACGGAGAGTGACCAGGTGCTGCTTGCTGAGCAGGGTTGGGAAGAACCACAGGTAGGAGCCTCCAGCGTGGGACTGCTCCAGGTCCCCACCCACTGCAATGTGCATAGAGTTCCTCAGCTGTGCTAAGCGACCCCTTGACGTGCACTTGGCATCTCAGCAGAAGTGAGCTTCTCAACGAGGGGTCTCTGGTGGGACTGAGAAGAGGTGGAAGGTGCAGAGGCTCAGGGAAAAGGCCAAGTACCTTATCTAGTTTCTCTCAGAGATCATCTTGGCTAATGGACGCAGGGCCACATTGCCTGGCCTGCCTGAGGGGCCCCACAACCCTGCTCTAAGAAGTGACTAATATTATTAAAAGCAACACCTCAAACAACATTTGAGGTGCACTGTGCTGAGGACCTAACATAAATTTTATCTTCATAACAGCCCTATGAAGAAGATATTGTAACTATTCTTTCCATGTTATTGACACTTTACAAATGAGGCTCAGACAAGCTATGACGTCACCTCAGCTAATCCCAGAGGAGAGGAACAGGAGCAGAACTTTCCTTCACTTTCGTCACTGTTCATACTTTTGTTAAAAATAAAATAAAATAAATGGTGCTTTGAATGTCCCAAAGGCTGATCTAGACACTGGAAAGACAATAGTTCACAGACAGACCAAACCCTGTTTTCAAGGCGCTTGCATTCCAGTGGGAAGATATGGATAATAAAATCTGTGCAGAAAAAATAGGTGTATGTTAGGGAGCAATGGTACGGAGCAAAGTCAGGGAAGGGAGTGCTCAGAGGTGCCTTGCAATTTCAAATAGAGCAGCTATGGCAGGGTCCAGCTGGGGAGGGGGAGGAAGAGGAGGGAAGAGGCTGATGGGCAGTGTTGGGGTAGCAGGGGGCTTGCCAGTTTGGACGGGGCCTTGAGACTCTGGCTGTCTGTTTGAATGAGGTGAGAAGTTCTCACAGTGTTTTCAGATTTGCTTTAACTGATATTTTAACAGGATCCCTCTGGCTGTTGTCTGGAGAATCCACTGGAGTGAGCCCAGGGAGAGGGATGGGGCAGAAGCCAGGTGGCCAGCTGGGGGACCCTGGCAATCATCCAGGTGAGACACAACTGTGACTTGGACCGTGTTGTTGGTGGGGTGCAGATGCTGGTTGGATCTGGATGTATTTGGAAGCTGGGAAGATTTCCTGGTGGATTGGATGTTGGCTGTGAAAGCCAGGGAGGGGTGACTGAAGATATTGGCCCAAGCAACCAGAAGGACAGAGTGGCTATTAACTAAGCTGGAAGAGACACCGGGGAAGCAGACTAGGGTGAGGCGGGGAGGAGTGGGAGTCAGGAACTTGGTTTGGGGGTACACTAAGTTGGGGAAGTCCATTAGACATCTGGGTGATGACAGATAAGACAGGCAGACATTTCAGTGAGAAGTTCTGCCAAGAACCTTAACTCAAATTAGAGACTTGAGGGTGTCAGAGTTCAGGTGGTGATCAAAGCCACCAGCTTGGAGAGAACAGGTAGGAGGTTCCCCTGTTCCAACATAAGTGGGGACCCTTATGTTGTCCCCACTCTGTGGCAGACCCTGAACACTCAGTGCCATCTAGGAGAAGAGTCCATGGGAAGAAGGGGCAAGTCAGTCACCGACTGCAACACAGTGACAAGCCTGTGATGGGCCTGGCCCAGGGTCCTCTAGAATGACCCTCTTGAGGTCCCTGAGCCTCAGTTTCCTCCATAGGACAGGGAAGGGGCCAAGAGAAACCGTGGCTATGGAGGGCTTGGTAAACGGCTGGATACTGTGACTGGGCATGCTGAGCCGGAGGATATTTCATCTATTCCCTGCTTGTTAAGCAGCTGCCTTTTCCAAGAAAACAGCTGTTTGTTTTGTTTTTTTTTTTCTGTTTTTCTCTGTCCTCCAGGGTCCTCCCTGATGCCACCGTCTGGGCTGCATTGCACACTCTGGTATATCTTACCTTCTGCCAACCTTCCTAGAAACCGAGGAGGCTCATTCACATCTGTTACCTGAACAGTCAGGATCTGCAGGTCTGTGACACCCACGTCATCCTTAACATAAATCTGCAAGTCATATATGTTTGGTCCTGTTTCAAAATCTAGCTGTTCCTCCCCAGTGGTGACAACCTAAAACAAAATGAAAAATTCTTAGTGAAAGAAGGTCTGATTTTTCACACGCACATTTGCAAAGGGTCCTTACTAGCAAGGAAGCAACCAGCATCCTGAAGACCATTTTTCACTTGCTGCCAGAGGAAACGGTTGTTTTGTCTTAGTGCTCTCAATGTAAGTCCCATGACACTCCACACTGAAGGCTCCTGTGCATGCGGCTGCTTTTCACAGGAAAGAAAAATATCCAGGAGACATCCTGGTGCAATTCACCAGAGACGGAAAGCCTGAGAATTAAACCCCTACCATACTTTGGGAGTAGGCTTCTAGAAAAGTCCTGTAGGTACCCTGAATACAGTCGGATTGTCTCTCATCTTTAAGAAAGGATGCTGCCCTTCCCTGGGGTTGCCCCCCAGCTGTGGCTCAACTTGTCACTCCACTCTAATTGTCCTAAGGCCACAAGCAAGAATGAGCAAGAGGAGAAGGATACATCTGCACATAGAAGGAATATTTCCTTAATCAACAGACTGTTCCCTCTTCTTGCGACTTCCCCCACATCCTTCCATTGTCAGGAAGTGTTGTACTCTGCACTATTAGTATTTTGGAGGCAGGATAGCAACATCAAGAGGCAGGACCAGAGATTCATCACCAGAATTAAGAGCTGTTGCCAGCAGGATCGCTTGGGGTCCGTGTGGGGGGGTCCTGCTAACTGGGGCTGGTCTGAGACCTCTTACATCTATAGGCACATTCTGCCATCAGCTTAGCCCCTGGAACTCCTACAAAGCTCACAGCCCTTTGAGACATTGCTATGGTTTGAATAGCCCATAAAAACTTAACTTGAAGTGTGATTGCCACTATAACGATATTGAGAGGTGGGTCCTGTAAGAGATTAGAGCACGAGGGTCCACCTCTTAGATGGATTGATGCCCTCGTTACCATGGCTTTCTGGGCTTCCTGTCCCACCCTCCTGCTCTCTTGAGTGCTCTCTCACCATGCAGGTACTTTTGCCACGTCATGTCCCAGAAAGAAGGCCCTCACTAGATGCCAGCATCTTTTTTTTTGTGCATGCAAGGCAAGCACTCTACCAACTGAGCTATATCCGCAGCCCAGATGCCAGCATCTTGACATTGCCTTCCCAGCCACCAGAACTATGAGAAATAAATTTCTTCTCTTTTAAATCATCCAGTCTGTGCTATTCTGTTATAGTAGCAGAAATCAGATGAAGACAGATAACAAGGACTAAATTTCTTATATATCCACAACGGGTCCTAACAGAACTTTTGGCTACCAATGTGACTGGGGCCAGGTGGTAAGCTATTCAGCATCCTGCAGTGGGAGAGCACCTGGCTGCAATTCCATTCCCACCACCAAACTTCCATGTGACCTTGGGAGAGTTGCTTTCCCTTCCCCTGATTTTGCTTCCAAGTGATGATAATTAGGGAAATATCCCTCGCCCTAGTTAAAGAGCTGAAGTATAATATGTAGTATTATAACAAAGAGCCAGGCCAGGGTCCTATGGAAGATTGGGAGACGATTCGTCATGAGCTGTGTGTGGTCAGAGAAGGCTGCACGGAGGAGGTGGTGGGTATTGTGTTTGCGAGATCTGGCCTGGTTAAGAGTGGAGAAGACAACCTCAGATGTGAATGCGTCCCTCAGTGGAGGAAGAATACACAAAGAGTTGAGAGAGAAGAGAGGTTGTGTCCATATTGTGCAGGGTCAATCTGGTAGCCACTTAAATGGAGGTGACGTGGTCTCTCTGTTTTACATATAGAAGGTCAGGCAGCATGACACAGGGGTCACAATCACAGACTCTAGAGCCAGACTGACTGATTTTAGAGCTCAGCCTTCCCATTATTTCCATGCCTCAGTTTCCCTATTTATAAAATGGGGGCTAAAATCACATTATATAGGGTGAAGACGAATGAGCTAATCCATGAGAAGTCCGTAGAACCTTGCCTGGCTCAGAACTAATATCTTGCTAATGCTGACTTTTATCAACATGAGGCCATCAAAAATGTACATTCGGGCTGGGGCTGTAGCTCAGTGGTAGAGTGCCTGCCTTGCACATGTGAGGCACTGGGTTGGATCCTCAGCAACACATAAAAAATAAATAAATAAAAACATTGTGTCCAACTACAACAAAAAAAAAAAAAACAGTTTTTTTAAAATGTATGTTCCCCAGAGCAGGACCCTCTGTTAAGATGGTCAACCTGCTTTCCTGATTGATACCCTAGCTTCCTGCATCCCGAGCTGGGATGGATCTCTTCCCTAAATATTACTTATTGCCACCTTCTCTTTGAGAACCAACTCTAACAATCTAGAGCAAGCAAATTAACCACTCAAAAAAGGGCTCAAAAACTTTATATCTTGGAACCAAAATAATTGTCTTGCTATCCAGACAAAGGAAAAAATTATTTTTGTTCTTGTTAGCATCTTTTCAAGCTATTTTGTGGAACATTTTATTTATGCTAACAATTGTGAAAGGTAAACCCCCCACCCCACTCCATTTTACATTCAAAGACACTAAGACAGGGGAAGGGACTCTCCTAAGTTCACATCTGACAGTGGCGACCCCTTGATTTGGTTGCAAGCAAGCCACTACAGAGTATGTTAAATCTGAAGTCATCCTGGACAAAGCTGAGCAAATGTTCATGGCCAAGGGGATTTAGCTCAGTAGTACAATGCTTGCCTAGCATGCATCACAAAATAAATAAGCAAAATTTTAAAATTCAGGACTAGCCAGGAGCAGTGGCACACACCTGTAATCCCAGAGGCTCAGGAGGCTGAGGCAGGAGGATCACGAGTTCAAAGCCAACCTCAGTAACAGCGAGGAGTTAAGCAACTCAGTGAGACCCTGTCTCTAAATAAAATTCAAAATAGGGCTGGGGATGTGGCTCAGTGGTCCTGTGCCCCTGAGTTCAATCCCTGGTAACACCCCTCACAAATAAAAAAAATAGATGGGAAAAGAGATGAACAGATGAAAGTGTGGCAGGTGCAGGACCCTGGAGAGCGCCTGTCTTCCCAGCTACTGGCTTCTCAGAGCTATCCTTCAGGGTGCTGTTGCAGGAGAAAATCCCTCCACCCAGGATCAGCCGCTTGTGGCTGACTAAGGCTGACACCTCTCTTGCTGGCGATAGTGAGCCAGCACAGCATGGGGGCCATGAACAAGGATTCCTGGAGTCAGCCATACCTCAGTTTTCCCATCTTTAACTTGCAAATAAAACAGTAAAGGACTCCATAGCATTATTGTAAACAGTAAATGAATGAAACCATAAAACATTCTGGAAATTCCTGGCATATGGTAAATGTTCTGTCAATGTGGGTTGCTGACTCACATCCCCCCCCACCTGAGAAGTCCTGGCAGCTGTGTCTCAAAGCAGGGAAACCTGGCCTCTGGCACAACTCAGAGCTTACCCTCAGAAGACATGACTGAGTCGCAAGGCCATCAGTGACCAGACTTCTGGCCATCAGCCTCCAGAGTGTGGAGAGAACCCAAGCAGGAGCCAGGTTCCTTCACGGAGACGGCATTACCGTGCCTGGAAGGGGGCAGGAGTGACTCATGGGCTCACTGACGATGCTGAGTGGTTTCCAGGAAGAAGCCCATCCTCATACTAAAGCAAGGGTCTGGGCAGCTGCAGGGCATGGTGCCCAGAGAGCACAGGGATAATGCAACAAATACTTGAGCCTAAGTTCGCTGAAGGGCTAAGACATTGCCATTTCAAGAGTTTGGGGATAGGAGGGAATTCTTCCTTGATTGGTTGCCCTGCTTAAATCACACGAAATGTGGAAAGAGCATACCTACTCCATGAGGAAGGATTTGGAAGCTCACCAAAATGGCCATCAATATGCACAACAAAAGAGGAGACCGAGCCTGGGGTTGGGAAAGAAGACCTGAACACCTGAGCTAAGTTGTTGTTGTTGTTGTTGTTCTTCTTCTTCTTCTTGGGTTTTTTTTTTTGTTGTTGTTTTTGTTTTTTTTTGGTACTGGGGATTGAACCCAGGGGCACTTAACCACTGAGCCACATCCCCAGCCCTTTTGAATATTTTATTTAGAGACAGGGTCTCACTGAGTTACTTAGGACCTCACTAATTTGCTGAGGCTGCCTTTGAACTCACAATCCTCCTGCCTCAGCCCCCTGAGCTGCTGGGATTATAGGTGTAAACTACTGTGCTCAGCTCTGAGCTAAGTTCTTATCCCATCTTTTATGGCCGTGTCTTGAAAAAAAAATCATTTAAACTCACTGTCTCTGCATTATATCTAAAATAAGAATTAAAACTTTGAAATACTGTTATTAATTGTAAAAATCAGGAGATCAAGAATGTGAATATTCTTGGGAAGCTTTATGCAAATGTGAAGGAAGAGAAGTATCATTAAAGACAGCAGACCACAGGGCTGAGAATGAGAACTCTCAAGGGGCAACAACCCAAATGTCTGTCAATTGAAGAATGGATAAACAACATGTGGCATATACTTATAAAATGGAATATTATTCAGCCATAAAAGAGGGAAGTACTGATACATGCTGCAATATGGGTGGCCCTCGAAACTTTATGCTAAGCAAAAGAAGCCAGTCACAAAAGACCACATGCATTCTGTTCATATGAAATGTCCAGAACAAGCAAATCTGTAAAGACAAAAAGTAGATTAGTGGTTGCCAGCGACGGGGAACAGGAGAATACAGAGTGACTGCTAATGAGGATATAGTTTTATGTTGGGATAATGACAATTTTCTAAAATTAGAGTGTGGTGATGGTTGGACAACTCTGTAAGTATACAAAAGACCACTGAATTGTACAATTTAAATAAGTGGATAATATGCTGTGTGGATTGTATCTCAACAAAGCTGTTTTAAGAAATAATGAGAGCTCTGAAGCCTGACGGCCTGGTTTCCCATCTCAGCTCAGCTGCCCACTAGCTGTGCCACCCAGGGAAAATTACTTAAACTCTCCAGGCTTCATTTCCTCATCTGCAAAAGAGACTAATACTACAGACACAGTCACTAGGTTGTTTTGGGGATCACAAGGGCAAGCACCTATAAACACACTTTCAATAGTGTTTGCATGTGTGACGTGCTCTGTAAGTGTAAACGGTTGGCAAGACTGACGGGAACAGAAGGCAGCAGCTGTTGAAGACAAGCCAGCTATCAAGGGAGTAGGTAGGCAGGCAGTTAAGTCACAGGACTGGCATCTGGGCCTGACAATGCAGGGAGGATGCTGAAGTGAAGACTGACCATACCAGAGAGCCCTGTCCTGGGGTGACCAGAGTACCAGAAGCCTGGGCACTGACCTCAAGTTATAGGTTCTGCAGACCTGCTCTAGAGCAGATCTGCAAACTTCTGGAAAGCTCTACTAGTGACTGATGATGAGCTGCCTTAAGAACACCCCGTAGGTGCCTCACAGAAGCAGCCCAGCCTAGACCAGGCAGGCCAGAGCCCACTGGGTCCCACAAAGACCCCAAGGACCAATGGCAAGGCTGAGGATAGAATTGCAGGAGGTTCCTAGGCCAGTTGAGGAAGGGGATCAGGGTGTGGAGTATCAAAGCCTGGGCAAATCCAGACACCTAGACGCTAAAGGCATCCTGAGAAGACCCTGGAGTGTAAAGCATACAACCAGCAAGTTGGTCCTCCCTGTGGGGAAGTGACAACTTTGAGAAAGACTCAAATGACAAACTGAAAAACAGCAACAGGGCTCGGGTTGTAGCTCAGTGGCAGAGCACTTGTCTAGTATGAGCAAGGCCCTGGGTTCAATCTCCAGCACTGAAGGAAAAAATAAAGAGCAAGAAAGCAGTAACAGTGGCACAGCTCTTGAACTATTGTCTCAGTTACCCAAGAGGAAACAGTTGCACATTAGAGGTGGATATTGAGACTTATATTTTATTAAAGGGCCTATGCCTTGCATATTAAATAAACCCACTTTTAGATTTCCTTCTAAAAAACTCACAGAATCACGGAAAAGCAAAATCAGTTGACCCAAAATCATCAGAGCCTGGTTTTTAAAGACCTTAATACCCAAACTATCAAACCCAAAGGATTTAGTGTAGTACACCTAACACCTGATGTCATGTGGCTTGTTGGCAGTAAGAAACAATCCTTCGAAGGTTGTGGTGGTGCACACCTGTAATCCCAGTGACTCAGGAGGCTGAGGCAGGAGGATCATGAGTTCAAGCAAGCTAGCTGCAGCAACCTAGCGAGGGCCTGAGCAACTCAGCAAGGCCCTGTCTCTAAATAAAATAGAAAAGGGCTGGGGATATGGCTCAGTGGTTAAGAGCCCCTTGGTTCAATCCCCAGTGACACACACTCACACAAACACACAAACACACACACACACACACACCAGAAAGAAACAAGCCTTCCTTTCCTAACAAATTTCCCAGTGCTCATGGGGACTGCATTCAATGGAGAAAGAAGGTCCAAAGGCTACAGAGGCATCAGGAACAGGGGGTGCTGGCTAGGATGCCCCAAATAGGACAACTGGATCTTATAGAGGGGAGTTTAAACAAGGGAATGAGGGAAAAGGATCACTGATCTGAACTGCCAGCCCTCCCCATCTCAGGACCACCCCTTTGCAGATGACTCCCTGTGGGTGGAGCTGGTGAAAGGCAGCTTACCTCAAAGTCAGTGCCCGACAGCCAGTTCACCCTGAAGGCTTCAGTGAGGGGATTGGAGTTGATTATCAGGGGAAATCCTGGGATCACAGGTGACAATGATACTGACAAATTCACAGAAAACTTGTGCACCAAAGTCTCAGGTGGGGAATTCTCTGCCACGTTGCTTGTGGCAGGTAAGTGGATTAGATGTAAGGTCCCTCCTCCTGTGGATTTAAAAAAGACACAAAACGACATGAGCACAGAGCTTTTTGCTGGGAACAGGGGGCTTATCAACTTGGTTTGTGGCTTTAGTTCACGGCAGTGATGAGACTTGGTCACTCCCCAAGAACAAATGCTGCTGCCAAGTGCTAGAAAAGGAAATGTGAGACCTTCTGGGAACCGAGGAACAACCCCAGCAATCTGCTCTGTCCTTCAGTCAGTGAAGCTGCTGCCTTTTCTCTTGTCTCCCTACTTTTCTTCTTCTTCTTCCTCACACCCGTTTTTATGAAGAGCTAAGGAAAAGAAAAATGTGATATCTAAGGAGAGAGGACCTTCCCCAGCCCCTGCCGCCTTGAAGGCCCTAGTGTGGTAAGGACACCCTCTCTCTCTCTCTCTCTCTTGCAGTTTGTAATTTTGTTTTCCGTCTCCGCAGCAGTGTTCAATTTATGAGGTCATCTGAGAATCGAGTGTGTATGACTAGACAATTCCAACCTCATGGGTGACCTCTCCACATCCACCAGCCATCTCAACGGCAATTTTTTGTCATTGTTAGTGCCATGTTGTTGGACATCATGTAGGGAGTCCATCAGCACTTCTTGGGTGATTGATTAACTCCCTTTCACAGAGGAGAAAATGAGAATCAAGCAAGGGAATGTGGATTGCCTCAGGCTGTGTGACACACAAGCCCCTTTTTAATTTAAGAGAAAGGGTATTTCTTCCAAGAAAGGCTTGGAACCATTCTAAGACACTCGTGATACTCTGTGAGACTTGACCAGCACAGAGAGAGCCAGTGGAGACCCCATTCTCTCAGGCTTTCCTAGTTTCTGTGACTGTCCTGGACTGAGTAATTCCCCCCAAAGATTCGGAAATGGAGTTTTCACCCATGTAATTAGTAAAGTTAAAAGGAAGGCATATTGGATTAGTGTGGGCTCTAACCCCAAGACTGGTGTCCTTGTGTGGAAGCAGGACACGGAGACACAGGAAGGCCATGAAATAACAGAGGCAGAGATTGGAAAGATACAGATACGAGTCAAGGAATAAAAAGCAATCAGCAGAAGCAAGGTGGAGGTGGGCACAGAACAGATTTTGCCTCAAGAAAGAATTAACCCTGCCAATACCTTGATTTTGGATTTCTGGTCTCCTGAACTATGTGAGAGAAAAGTGTTTTAAGCCACCCAATTTGAGGTGATTGGTCACTGCAGCCCTAGGAAATAAATCCAATGACCATTTCCCCAATGTTCTAAATAAGTGTATAATGAAAAATCCTTTACTTCATTTACTTCTCAAAAACACCCCTCTCCGGCAGGCGCTGTGGCGCACGCCTGTAATCCCAGCAGCTCAGGAGGCTGAGGCAGGAGGATCATGAATGAGTTCAAAGCCAGCCTTAACAATGAGGCACTAAGCAACTCAGTGAGACCCTGTCTCTAAATAAAATACAAAATAGGGCTGGGGATGTGGCTCGGTGGTTGAGTGCCCCTGAATTTAATCCCTAGTACCCCCACCACCCAGAAAAACCCACCCCTCTCAGATAGGTATTAATATTATCATTTTACAGATGGGGAAGCTTAGTGGAAAGTCACATAGCAAATAACAAATAACAAAGCCAAGACTTACGCTGAGGTCCTACTTCCCAGTCAGCTTCCCCTTCTTGACCACCATCTGCCACTGGGATCCAAACTCCCAGAATGGTAGGAGACAAAGGGGTAAGGAGGGACAGTAGAAGGATCTGTCCTACTGAAAGGTGTGAAGATTCTAGAGACAGTCAAGTCCTGGGGAAAGGTTTGGCTTTATCAGGGGATGCTTTTATTTCAGCAAGGGAGGGATGCAGAGGAATACATGGAAGTGTGAGAAAAATTGAAATAGAAGCACATCATGAATACAAACTTTCAGCTTAGAGATTAAAATGCATACTTTTTATTTTTGCTCACAGAATTATCACGCTTTATACGCAGGGACTGTGTAAGGACTCACACATGCAAACAGCCGAGGTTTCGGGTGATGTGGTTATGAGTAGCTTTTTACATCTATTTACCTTGACTCTGATATAATAGCAGTTTTGCAATAAAAACCAGGAGCTAAAGAGTATGGCTGGAATATTTAGAGATGAAATGCTTCTATGAAGAGTTTTTCAAAATGAGCAGAGTAATGAATCCCTTTGGTTGGACAAAGTTTTTAGGCCTAACGTGCTCACATTCTTTTGACCACAAGCAAAACTCACCAGGGCACCCCCCAAGCTGTTCATGACAGTTTCCTCACTGCTTAGCAAGACAAGGGCAACCACAGCAGAATCAGAGATTGGCACTTAATTTTCTAGGGCCCCATCTTCTTGCCCGTACTCCTTTCCACCCCTCCTTGCGCCCCAGTGACTTGTGCCCCTCCATTGAGGAGCAAAGACATAACTTGCTACTTTAAAATTTTTTATTTTTTATTTTTATGAATAGCCTGCCCCACCCAAATGAACAGATTGAAGCAATTAACCACCTGTATTTACCAAACCTCACCTCACCAGGCACAGTGCCAGGGGCTTTCCTACCTATGGCGTCTACTCCCAACATACCTGAAGTCATCACACACTCAGTAAGTGACTGTGGTGGGCTTGGCTTCCTGCCTCTGGATCTTGTAGATAACTGACAGTCCATACCTACCACAGAGTCTGTTGCTCTGTATCTGCAACACAGCCATGTACCTGGGACACACAGTAGTTATTCTGTCACTTGGGAACACTGCAGCAACATGGCTCCAGGGCTTGATAAGAAATTGGACCTTCCACCTGGATGCTAAATCTGGATGATGTGATCTACAAGAGGCTGGTTTTTTTGTTTGTTTGTTTGTTTGTTAGAATAACATAAAGAATTGGGCTGGGAAATGAGCTTGCTGGGGATTCATGGATAAGCAGCTTGCTAAGCTCCAGTTGGATTTTTCTACAGCCTCGCCCTGTATAGGCAGATTCTCATGGCCACCAAACTTGATGCATTCCCTTTGAGGAGCTGAGGGAAACCGAGAAGCTGTCATCCCCATATATTGTCTGCTGACAGTTCTGGTTTGCTCTGCTGGGAGAGTATCCCTTGGTTTTGTTGCATTGATCATGACTTTGGCATTACTATGTCTGGGAGACTAATGTCATGAAAGAACACCAGCATTCCAACACAAGACATCTGACTCAAGGACAGCTCTATACTGCCTCCTTGTATGTATGTATGTGTGTGTGTGGTATATATATATATATATATATATATATATATATATATATATATATATATATATATATATATCTTTTCATAGTTTTCCTGGAATGGTCATTTTTGTAGTGAGGGAGATATTTTGGAAGGAGAAGTGGATAGATCCCTTGACCTCAAGCAATTTGTATTGAAAACTGTTTGCTCCACATGTGGCTAGAGCCAAACTGTCCTTGGATATGCCCATTCTGTGGACATTCTTGCTGGTAATGTTCTACTTGGCTGGTGACCTCTCTTCCCAGGGTACAGTTGTGTGTTCCAGGATTGTGCACCTGAATCCAAAAGCTTTAAGGCAGACATTCTGTGGATACTGATAAGAAAGGTAGACCCACTGCAATCTAAATACCCAGTTTTTCCAGCTTCTTTGCTTTTAAAAAAAAGTACTAGTAATAGCAATAGCAATAATTTAAAAAGTGACTCGTGCTATAAATAGAGCAATTAGTAAGATGCAGTGTTCAAAAATGGTCAATCCATTCATTACACAGATAAGTTTGAGCTGTGTACCCAAAGCACCCCACTGAGCAGTGGCAGAGGGCAGGTTAGAGGCCAAGGGCCAGGTCTTTGGAAGACACTGCACTTTTCCAGAAGGCTTTATTTTATGGTCTGAATACTGAAGAGCAGGAATGAGGGTTTAATGGAATTTGACTTACACATGAATCTTAACTAATGCTCAAATTAGAATTGCTTGAAGGTTACACTTTGAAAAAGAAAAGGCCTGCAGGAGATCTAGTATCGGTCCCTGAGCCCACTGCAGCTTGTCTCTTGTGCTTGAGATCTGGGTGCTTGACGTGCTCACTTGTTTCCCCTGAATCACTGACTTTCCAGAAACAGCTCCTGGGGCCTCCTCCCAGGAGTCTGTGTTGAGGCAAGGTCTCCTCAGCCTCAGTTACAGGGGAGGATGTGACTGCCCTGGGCCCCCAACCCCATAAATGGTGACATGGATTCAGGATGTGGGGTGAGGCCACCTTCTCCTTCTAGGGATGTGGCTGCTCTAACTTGTACCTCTTTTCAGTACACAGAGAGAATAGTGCCACTCTCTGAGGTGCCACTCTCTAGTAGCTAATCGAAATAGTAGTAAAAGAAATCAGAGTTGTGAAAGGAGCAAGGGACTTGAAATTAGCTCTTGCTTCTGGCTTTGGCTTTGCTGCTACTTGATTGTGTGACAGTGGGCTGGGCCCTGCCTGAGCTTCCCTATCAACTGTCTTTCAGGGATGCAGTGCCACACCAACAGGGGCTTTTAAACAGGTTCTACTGCCAGTGAACTTGCCCAGGACCCAGTGATAATTTTGCGAATCTACAGTTTTATTATAAGAAAAAAATACAACATAGCAAGAACATTAAAGTGAGGATACTTAATCACCTCTGAACGATGCCTCATAGCAAGAGATCCAGAAGGGCTGGAAGTAAGCTCCTGTTGTCCCTTTTTTTCTAAGGAACATGCAGGATACACTTTGTCAGGTCAGGAATCACAGATGTAAGCACAAATGCCATCTTAGTTTGTGCTGCAAGTAACAGAAGAGCACAGACTGGGTAATTTATAAGCAATGGAAGTTTATTTGGCTCACAGTTCTGGAGGCTGGAAAATCCGAATTGAGGGGCCTTCCTGCTTTTTCATAATGTAGCAGAAGGCACTGTTCTGTGAGAGAAGTCCAGCCCACTCCCTTAGCATCAAACCCACTCCCATCATAATGGCATTTAGCTTCCACAATAATGACCTGATCATCTCTTAAAGATTCCATCTCTCATTGCTATTCTCAGTGGGAACTGCTTCTAAGACCTGAACTTTGGGAGACACATTCAAAACATAGCAAGTACCTTGGAAACACAGTACCCAAAATGGAGCCTCTGCTGGAATTTTTTCTCTTTTGCTGTAGGCACATTCTTGCTATATAACCAGCCTCAACAGCACAGCCTCGTGAGGTTCTAGGTGAGACCAGGTGCAAATCATCAATCTCACTGTTATCAATTAAACAATGCTTACAAGCTGGTACAAACCATGCAGAAACTCCTAGGACCCATGGTTACAAAACCACATTACTAAGCAGCATTGCTTCACGCCTTGATCAGGGTCAGCATGGTGCAGGAACTTTAGCAAAACAACTCAGGCTCATACCAGGACTGCTAGAACTCATGGTTACAGCCCAGATACCATAAATGAAAATCCTATATTCAGTAAACTATGAAAGATGACAGAATGTTTGTTTGGGTATGTGCAACGTTTTTCTATTGCTCTCATTTCCGCCATGTGTACTTTCTGAATGGGATGCTTGCCTTTCCTTTTGGAAGAGCTGATCCATGCAGAAAAGATTGATAGACCAGAGCCCTTAATTGGACACAGAGGAAAAGAAGAGAACTCTCGCAATGATTCTGGACATGGCACTATATTATAATTGGCAAGAGAAAAATTTGCTTGCCTTGGAACATCACTCAGGTTCTGATCTGAGAAGGGTTGGTTTCTTTCAAACCTTTACCAGCTCCACAAAGGTGAAAAGCAGGTGGGTTCCAGGGACTTGAGCCCTCACTCCAGTGTTTGAGAAAGACTTTCTGGAAATAGACTGCATCTTCCTGCCTTTTTCAATGAAGAGAGCATTAAGAAACAGTTATACCTAGTTTCTCTAGGGGCATAAGACATTGAATCTTGGACTTTTTCTGACTTCTTGACATTGCCTAGCAAAGTACCAAGCCCAGAAGATGGGCTCAGGGACTTCCTGGAGAGACTAGGCATAGCTTTGCAGCTATGGACAAAAGTCAGGCAGATGGCTTGGTACCTTTGCATGTTCATGGAGATCTCCATCACCGAGGAACCCTTCTCTCCGTAAAAACCCTGGAATGTTCTATTTCCATGAGAGCAATACAAAAGCTAGTCCCCTGGAGACTTTCTCGAAATGTAGACAGGTTCTAAGTGCAGTGGGTTCAAATACACCAAGGCTTCTTTAATAGGACCTTCATCTTCTGAGAATTACAGGTGGTTCTTCAGTGCTGAGGCAGCTCGAGAAGGCTATTTTGTCTCAACCCTTTCCCATGAATACAGTTGAGAGTTTCATCTACTTTTTTTTTTTTTTTTTTTTTTGCAGTCTGGGGAGGGGTGCTTTCTTTGTAAGTTGTTATTAGAATGGGACATGATCCCTTCCCAAAGAGAAACTTTCATTTCCTTCATCCTAATAGGAGATGAAAAGGACAGAAGCTAATTTAAATGCCAAACTGAAGGGGCTGGGGTTGTGGCTCAGCCATAGAGTGCTTGCCTCACACATGTGGGGACCCACTATGCACAGAAGATGTGGACATTTTGAGAAAGCCTCCATTTTTTTTTAAATGCCAACATGAAGCAGGCAGAAAAATAAATCTAAAATTCTGCATTTGGTGAGGGGGTAATCAGTAAGTGGGGAAAAAAATAAATCAACCCACACTAGATTCAGAAGGCATGGTGGTTGATGAAATGACAAACATTTATTGGGTCTCCTCTGTGTGGCACTCAGGACCTACAAGGTAATAGTAAACATTAAACCTGATATGGCAGGGATGGCAGTGTGGTTGAAGAGCCGGGACAGGCGCATATCAAATGGATTACAGAATGACAGCTCCTGCTAACTTTGCTGAGTGCCACTGAGTGTGTGGGGCACTGTGCCAAGCGGTTGGCACACAGCAGTCATGCAGGCAAGAGGAGCTCCGGGGTGCAGTGGGAAGAGGGCTCTTCCCAAGATAGAGCAGCTCCACAGGGCGGTGGGGCTTGAACTGGTCCTCGAAAGAAGCATAGGGCCCGAGGAAAGAGAAGAGAAGCCTGAGAGGATGTTAGTTTATTTGAGAGTGTACAGTGATGCCTACTTCCTGCATGCTGAAGGCAGGTGCTGATATGTATGCCCTTGCCCCCAGAATCCCCTGTCACCCTAGTGTTCAAGCACTAGAAATATACATGATCAGAACGCGCCATATCACCAGGTGGGGTGGTGCACGTCTATAATCCCAGTGGCCCAGGAGGCTGAGGCAGGAAGAGTTCAAAGCCAACCTCAGCAAAAGGAAGGCACTAAGCAACTCAGTGAGACCCTGTCTCTAAAGAAAATACAAAATAGGGCTGGGGATGTGGCTCAGTGGTTGAGTGCCCCTGAGTTCAATCCCCAGTAGCCCCCCCCCAAAAAAATGTGCAATATCAGGAGCGTCATGATCAGGTACTTGGACTCACAAAAGTTGAGAGATGGAGAGTTTGCATTCTGATAGCCCTTCCAAAACTAGGATTTGAACTGTGGAAGTAAAAGCATGATAAAATCCATGGTCTTTGGGGACCCACTATGAGCAGAAGATGTGGATATTTTGAGAAAGCCTCCAGAGAATTATCTTTTTAAATTATATATATATAATATTTATTGCATACCTTTGTGATCTGCTCCTCTCACACATCTGATAATAAAGATCCAAATGGTAGTGTTCAAGTAGGAGGCACTGGGTTCTTCCTAACCTCACTCTCCCCGCCACAGTGACAATAAATGTCACCCCTTAACTCAAATGATTATGGCCTAAAAGCCCATACTTCTGCAGAAACTGCAATGTTTACTTCAAGCAAGAGGCTGGGCTGCTCAAGGACTGCTTCTCTACACAGTTCCACCTGCTCCCTGCAGGGTCTGAAAGCCCAAGTTGAAGGAAGCCTCCACTTTAGGAAACCCAGGCATTTATTCGGTTAGCAGATCAAAGAGGAAAATCAAATGGTCATTTCCATAGATCATTAAAAAAGCATTTGACTTAAAAATCCATTTTTATTTAGAAAAACTCCCAATAAAACAAGAACAAAGGCTAACCCCTTAGTATGTCAAACATTTCTCTCGCTCTGAAAGCTAGCATCATGTTTAGTGTGGAACAGGACAGAAATGCACACTCTTATTATTTAACAATGGTCTGCAGGCATAGGCCTGGCAATTAGATAAGAGGGAGAAATAGAGGGTATAAAAATAGGAGAGGAAGAGTAGAAATGTTCATTCTTTTCAAACCTGGAAAATGCATGTGAATCAACTAAGAAGAGCATAAATGGTGAGATAATGCACTAATAGATTTCCTATATCATACAATAATAAGTTAAAAGACAAGGGAAGAAAAGATTCCATCTTCACATGTAAAAATAGAAAAAGGAAAGCACTAGAAATAGCCATGATCAGAATGTGCAATATCTATATGAAGGAAACCTTAAAATACTCCTGAGGAAAACAAAGGAAGACTTGAACAAGTATCTAGAACACTGCTCCTCAGTCAGGAAGACTCAGCTGCACAAATAATAATCACTAACATTTACTAAGCATTTACTATGTTCCAGACACTCCCCTAAGTATTTGACTACATAACTCATCCAAGATGTAAATGATCCCTAAATTAATCTACAAATTAACATGATTGAATTCCATACATTATGCATAAACGACCTACTCAAAAATAAAAGAATTTAAAAATCTCAAGTTCAATAATCCAAACTGACAACATCAAAAAAGATCATCCAGTTCTTAAAGCTCTTGATTAAGAAAGAGGGGGGTAGGGGCTGGGGATGTGGCTCAAGCGGTAGCACGCTCGCCTGGCATGCGTGCGGCCCGGGTTCGATCCTCAGCACCACATATAAACAAGTGTGTTCTCCGAAAACTAAAAACTAAATGTTAAAAACAAATTTAAAAAAAAGAAAGAGGGGGCGTATAAGAAGGATTAGGCTGAATTTTTGGTTCTTTCTATCAGAAGGTGTTTTCTTTGCTCCATACAAAGACAGTGGCCTCTAAGGATCTCAGTTTCCCCAGACTTGCCAGCCTCAGGTTGTCCCCCAAGGCTCCAGAGAGGAGCCATAAACTCCATAAAGCCTGACTTGACATGTGCACAGATCGCTGCTATGAAAGTTCCAGCACAAGCCAGTCAGAGCACGGGGGAGAGTGAAGTCTGTAGAACAGACTAGATGGTGGTTCTCGGAGCACCTCTCTCTTGCACCCCCTGTGCCAGCCCCCAGGCCTCCTGAAGCTGCTGCGTCTGATTCATCATTGCAGATAAGCCCACCATGGAAGACATTATCACACCATGGTATCCTGCAAACCAAGTAGGCCCTGCAAGGTTCCAAAGCAAAATGGAGCTCCCACCTGAGGTGGCACCCAGGAGGACCAGGAGGATGACGGCTTCCCGCATGCTTGATGACGGCTCCCGCCTGTGTGCGCCTCCAGCACGGATCCAGGACTAACTCCAGACTCACACCCAAGGTCTATCTCAGACTCGGCTCATCTTCCCCTCCTGCCTTTGTTGCCATGCAGGGAATCAAACAGAGGCTTTGGTGGTAACTTAGGGAGACTCTAAACAGCACAGGACTGTTTGTTCTTTGATCACCTGCTTCTCTGATGGCATGGTACCCATGGGGCCCAGCAACCAGGCCTCGGCAATCTCCAGCCAGTCCATCCTAAAAGTCCTCATGCACCCTGTGGCTCTGCAGGGAGCCAGCGTGCTCCTGATAGTCTCAGTTGTCCTGTAACCAGGCTTGTCATTCCCACAATCAGGTGTCGTCAGAGGTGGGATTTTTCTGCTGTCCTGAATTGAGAGGAGCCGAGAGCTGGCTTCTCTTCAAGGCAGACGCGTGTTGGTAGAGCTGCCCTTGACTCCAGCCATCACCCGGCCCCTCCAGACCCTAAAGAAGAATGCGGATGAAGATTGCTAGGGTCGTGAGGCTTCAGCCCCCTAGGGAATGGTGGGGCCTGTCCCTTTACCATGTTTTTATGCACCAAGTAGCCCTGCTCCAGGGCACAAGGAGTGACAAATAAGTGGACTTAGGTTGGGTTCCAGCCTCCACTCAGGAGAGGGGCAATGCAGGGCAGAGGAAGGATGGTAGAGGGCAGCCTGTCCACTATTGGGAACAGTAAGAATAGTTGTGGACTGTGGAAGGAACCGTCTCTCTGTTTCTTTCATGGTACGGCTGCCCCCTGGGAGGGGGGATTCAGCAGCTCAAGGCTGGCATCAGGAGTGGAGTAGGGGGTGTTGAGACAGAACCTCTCTGTCCCTGACAGGTGCTCTCAAGAACCTCACACACGCCCCATTGGCAAACCAGCACAAAACACCTGCCAGTTAGCCCTTGTGAGCAAGAGGAGCCGCCACAGTAACAGAGAGACAAGAGCCAGGGCCAGCTGAGTAGAATGTCCCTTTCCTCCTTCCCTCCCCCATCTTCCACCCCAAGGCAGAGAGGGAGAAGGGAGCTGGCAGTCATGCCACACTTTGAGAGTCTCAGCCCCAGCTGTGCCAGCCTGGGGACAGGACAGTGGCAGGAAGTGAAATTTAAGTCCAGTCTGAGATGCAAGCTTTAAACTGCAGTGGGCTATGAATAACTGATGGTGACCAGAAAGCAAGAGGTAATTATTTATTTATTTTCACGTTCCCGGGAATTGAACCCAGGGGCACTCTACCACTGGGCCACATCCCTAGCCCTTTTGTTTTATTTTTTTAATTGAGACAGGGTCTCACTGTATTGCTGAGGGTCTTGCTAAGTTTACTGAGGCTGGTCTCAAACTTGTGATCCTCCTGCCTCAGCCTCCTGAGTAGCTGGGCCATCACAAAAGTAAGATGTTAAAAGAGACAAGAAAGGGAGATTTAACAGAGGTCCATTGAAAAAGTGAATAAAGGAAAAATAAAGCTGTTGTGGTTTACATGCCCTGAATTAGGGTTGGCAATAGCCTTAGGGAATCTAAGGCTCAGGGGGTGGGCAACCTGCCCCAGGGGCACTGCCAGCCTGTGCTCCCTGCTATCCAAACCCAGGGCAGCAAGGCTGTCCTCCTCCCCTCCCACAAAGTCCAAGAGTCATCAGGCCCCTTCTAACATCCCGATGCCACCACCCTGGTTTAAGGTCCTTGCCTCTGACCTGAATTGTCTCCATAGCCACCAGTGCAACCCACCAGGTCTGTCAGGTTAATTTTCCAAAAGTACAATTTTGATCACTCACTTTCTTACTTAAAATAACAGACAACTTTTTTCCCCTTAGGAAAAGTTGTATAAAGCAGGAAGGGTAGTAAGATTTGGAATGTTTAGACTACAGGCTTCTGTCTGAAGTAGATAGATGGCAAGAAAAAAAAAAACCCACAGGTTTTGCTGTGTGACCTTGGGCAAATTACCAAACCTTTCTGAATCTCAGGTCTGTTCACTTCCATAAATCAGTAGAAATAAGGCTAGCTCTATTGAACGATGGCAAGCAGTGGATGAGATAACAAAGTGAAATAAACTGGCCTGCATTTTTTCTTCCAACGATACTATTTTTCCCAGTAGGATGTCTGTAGTACCTTGCAAGGGCTGAAACATAGTAGGTGTTCAATATGCACCAGCTCAATAAAAAAGCGGAGTAGACACCGGTTGCCAAGTTACCAATTCTTACCCCTCCGTTTTTCCTGTCGTATTAGTTACTGTAAATAATCCATTTCATTATGCATAATTAAAGCTGAAGTGATGGCGCAGATTAAGTTATGGAAAACGTCAGAATAATTAAGGCTTTGAATTAAAGAAACTCACATCTGTTTCATTTTCAGCCTGACTACACAGCATTTTTCATGTTACCCTGTTCCCACCAGGATCTTGTGAGTCTCTCCTCCCTTGCCCTCCCTGGTTCTGGGGAGTAGGAGGGTCATATTTTGATGTGTGTGTGTGTGTGTTTGTGTGTGTGTGTGTGTGTTCTCTAGTAATTGCAGCTTCTGTTTCCAGCCCTGAGGCTGTGGTCGTCACTGGGGTTGGCCTTTGCCTTGTGTCAGTTCCCATCTCCTTCTGATCCCGTGGTCCCGGCACCAGGAACCCCGACTGGGTCAGGATCACACAGAGACTGAGGGATCCCTGGGGCCCCTTGCTTTCCTGGCCCCTGACTTCAGCACAAAGCTGTCCCTATTCCACCTGCTCTCAGCTGGTGGATGGGGCTGCTCACACCCAGGGCCAGAACCTTTGGAGCAAGGCCCCACTCCAGCTTCCATGAAGGACCAGAGATTCTTCTCCTAAGTCCTACCTGGCCTAGCAGGGGTCAGCCCTGAAAGTATTTCAGGGGACCCCCCTGGGAACCAGCAAGTGCCTAGTGTGCCAAAGGAGTGGAGTTCTGAATATTTGTTGACTTTAGAACTGGGAACACACTTTCCAGTGGATGGGTTGTTTGCAGCCCACACACCTTACGCAGTCTCCAGTGCACTTGACACCACCCAGACTGACCATGACCACAGAAGCTTTGCTGCGAATGTTCAACAGTTCAGCTCCTTGAGTTGGTCCTCGGGCACTGGCCAGCTGGCCAGAGGACCGTACTGCCTTTGTGTCTGTGGGGAAGTTCTATCCCTGGTTCCTCTTCATCCAGCCTGGAACAGAGGCTTGCAGGAACCTAAATCCTAGGGCAGGCTCCACCACTGCAGCACCCCGACATCCCGCGTCCCCCTGAAGACCAGGCCCACACTCAGAGCAATGAGAGCCAAGCTAAGGGCACCAAGCTTCTCAGAGGAGTGGAAATGCTTCCCTCTCCCTTAGGAGAGTGTCCATGCCACTTGGCTGGGGGCCCCGTGGTCCTCTCCCTCATATGTGTACAGCCAGCGGCCTTCATTGGCTTTCCCAGAACACCTGCTCCAAGCAACAGGCCTCCTACTTAACCTCTCTGCCTCCTTGCTCAAATATCTTTATGCTACCTACTCACTTCTTCCTTCTCCCTCGGTGGGGCACTTGTTTATTCATTCAGCAAATATTGACTGTGGTCTACGTGCCAAGCCCTGCTGCCCACGCTAACTTTATAGCAAGGAACAAGACAGACAAAGGCTCCCTGGCCACCTGCCTGACACTCTGGAAGCACCATTTCTTCCATCCATCCAGTTGGCCAGCCGTCACTCCCGGGGCAGCCCACCATGTGCCAGGCCCTGGGCTGGGGACTAAGATCCTCAGGTCTATCCTAACACCGTTGTCCCACCAGAGACCTTGAACCTGTCCAGAGACAAAGAGGTAATCCCACAGTCACAACCAAGTGGGCCAGGGGCTGTGTTTGAGGCCTGCTCAGGGGCAGTGAGAGCAGGCTTCAGTCAGCTGCAGCCTGGGAGTGGAGCCGTCTGAGAAGTTTGCAAGTGGCAGAGTGAGCCGGAGAAAGGCAGGACAAAGCCACTGGGCTAAGGAAGAAATAGCGTCAAGGTCTGTAATAACATGGTTACCCCCTCTGTATTCTGCTAGTTGACTGATCCCTGGGGGAGCTCAGTGTTTAAGAAAACACTTTTTTTTTTCCAACTAGGTAAAATATGCACCCGATACCAAATTCCAAGTGTTCAAAAGAGTAAACAAGGAAAAGTAAGTAAGTCTTCCTGTTCTACCCTGTTCCCAAAGAGACCACCCTTACAGTGGTCCTCCTAGAGACAGTCTATGCAAACCAAGCACATACCATCTGCATCTCCATTGCTCCAGTGCAAACCGCAGCTTCTCATAGACTCTACTTCACCCAGGTTTTTTGTCTTAATAGATCTTGGAAATTCTGGCATATCAGTACATTAAAGCAGCTCATTCTTTTTTATAATGGCATAGTATCCTTTCTATAGTTGAGTCACTATTTATACAGTCCCTGTTGATAGATGTTTTCTTTGTTTCCAAACTTTTTCTGTTACAAATAATGTTGCAATAAAGATCACTGAACATATGCAATCAACATATGTAATGAGCTTGCGAGCGTATATTTATGAATTAAATTTCTAAAAATGAATTCTCAGATATATTGTTAAGTAAAAAGGAAAAAAATATGAAAAATACTGTAAGAAAAAGAGGTTGTTCCAATTTATACAACTATCTTCTTCTAGTATTGTCACACTTTTATTTTCAAATATCGGCCTCTGGTTTCTTTGGAATAGTTCCTTCAGATGTGAGGTAGGTTCCAGAGGGAACTTCCCTTCCCATCAGCTGTCTTGGAGTTGGTTTTCTTTAAACTAAAGCAGCCAGAGTCCTCATGATCGGCTTAAAGAATTGGGGACATTAGAATACTTTTTTTTTCATATTCAAAAAGTGATTAACTATTACAATGAAAAAAAAAATCTGCCTCTTGCCACAGTATACCTGGAAGAAAAGAGAAGGAAACTCCCTTCAGGTCAGAGCAGGCCACTTACAGGAGAACAGGGCCTCTCCCACTGGGTGAAGGAATTAAGCTGAGACTTTCCTTTCCAGGCCTGGGGCCCCTTATTTGCATGGACGTGGGCCCATGAATGTTCTAGACAGGTCAGTCTGCTGCCTTGTACACAGTAATCCCATCCAT